TGCTCAGAAGAACTTCAGAACCAGGAATCAGAAATCCTGTTGTATGGGGGGAACCTTGAGGACAAACGATTATCACATGAAACAAAACAATACACAATCAGAAAGCGAGCTGACGGAAGACTCACCTCCAGCTCATGCTGTAACATGTAAAGTTCATGTTCACACCGTCTCCACGATTTCATCTAACATTTTTCTTTTTTTTCTCTGTAAGGTAACGGACACACCCAACCCATGCCAAAGAACGAGCGCTGATGAAAGCCGACTGTGTTGACTAGAGCCAACGGTGCGGAACACACCGGAAAAACTAAGTCGGCCGACGTTCAAAAACTGCCCGACTGCCGGCTTGGTGTGTCCCTGGCTTAAAAAGCAATCCATACACTATAAGCACAATTTCTTCTTCCGCCATGTTTGTTTACTTTAAAGTCACGTTTGATGCGAGAGATTTTGCGAGATTTCCCTTGTTCACAGGTGGGACTGTATTGTCTGTGAATTAGGGGTGTAACGGTACATGTATTCGTATTGAACCGTTTCGGTTCGAGGCTTCCGGTTCGGTACGCATACAAACCGAATGATTCCTTGGACCATTTTTCCTGCCGACAAAATTCGCGCTGGCGCGACCACCACAACGTTGCGCAACATCAAATGGCAAGCGTAATGAAACCGGAACAAAACTGCGCTATTGTGCTTCACGGATCGTTTATCAGTTCGGAGCAGAGCAGCAACATCTGCAGCGGGAGCCGATCTCGATCAAGCGACACTGTTACAACCGTTACAACACAGCGCTAAGAGATCCAGTGAAGAAAACATTTGAGTTCGCCACTGAAGTAATAACATCGCTGCGAGATCTAGTGAGAAGCATTCAAATTTCTCCGTTATTAACCGTAGTTCTCTATTAGATCAAACAGCACTGACGTGGACACCAGGAGAAACATTGTGCCGTGAATGAACTAGTAATACTTTACGTCCACAGATCAGCAACATTCACCATGGATTTAATATAGTAACACTAACTGTAACCAGTTTGGCTGGAATAGTGAAATACTTTCAAGTACTTCACACATCTTTTTCCAGCACTTCAAAACTCAAATATTATATAAATAAATAGCCTATATGAAGAGTTCAGATGCAAAAGCCTCTATAAGTGCCATTTGAAATTTTCTTCTAGAAATTAGAATGATCATTTTTATGAAGCTTGTACATTTAAGTTCAGTAATTTCACTCAAATGACAATTAATAGGCAATCTTCATTGCCATTTAAGTGAAATTACTGAACTTAAATATACAAGCTTGATAAAAATGATCATTCTAAGAAAATTTCAAATGGCTTTTGCATCTAAACTCTTCATATATTTAAATGTTATTTTTAATGTGATGACCAAAACCTTATTTGTTCATCCTTCAAAGATGACCCCCATTTATAAACCTGAAAGTTTCAAGATGTAGGAAAACTCACTTATTTAAAAAATACTTTTTCTTTTAACAAATAGGAAATTTCTCTGGCATTTCTTACTTTTTGCTGTATCGAAAACGTACCGAACCGTGACTTTAAAACCGAGGTACGTACCGAACCGTGATTTTTGTGTACCGTTACACCCCTACTGTGAATGGAATCTGTTAGTGTGTGGTGTGCTTTCCTGGTCACATCGCGGCACTCCACACACTAGAGGAACAAAATGGATAAAACTATTATTTTTTTATCGTCATGTTTGTGGTCTCTCACATTTTAAAAATATTATAAGATTTAAAAAATCTTTTAGTGTGGCCCCAGCTTCAGATGATAGCTCAGATACTGCGATTTCATTGTAATCCTTCTCACAACGTCACTGAATTCACCATTAACTATTCACCTGAACATGTTGATATTGTATCATTGTAATCCTTGACCATCAAAACATAGGGGTAGACATCACATTTTCCATGTTATCATGTTTGGTTCAGGAGATATAATACAAAATACTTGTGTTTTTTTGTGGAAAAAAATAATAATTCAGTTATGGAGGAAAGCAAAATGGCCACCATGGTTGCCACGAGGCGTTTTTGCGATGGCTCCATTTCTGAAAATGTTCAGGGCCCCAAACTGTATAAGTGTACCAATTTTCATGCTTTTATGAAAAAGTGAACATAATTTTCACATATCACCTAGACTATTAAAGATTTATAGACAATGATGTTTGAAATGTCATTCGTATTGTTTATTTTTATATTACATCCAAAAACAATTTGTTTCATAGCTGGACATGTTGATTAACAGTTAATTAAATTAACCAGAAAAATCTTAAAACATTTTAAATAATACTTGTAATATTTATGTGCAACTTATAATTTTTTTATAAAAAAAATTTTAATAATACGTATACAGTAATAAATTACTTAAAAAACATTTGCAAACTATTAGTTTATAATTATTTCATAGTTAATATATTGTAGTCTCTATATTATTAGGCTATATACAAATAGTGATTTCTTCATTCATTGTCACTGTAATTAGGGGCCAAGCCCCGAAGGGGCTGAAGCACCTATTGTATCTGTTAGTTTTCTTATTAGGGGCCAAGCACCGAAGGTGCTGAGGCACCTTTTGTATCTGTAAGTTTTCTTATTATTATTATTATTCCGTAAATGGAAGTCTATGGCAGCCCTATGAACCGTAAGTAGGAAAATGATGAAATTTGGCACACTTATAGATAAGGTCATGAAAAGTAATTGAGCCAAATTTTGAGTCTCTAGAACTAACTCTATAGCGCAACTCTATACCAGTTCAAAAATTCAACATTGAAATGGTTATAACTTTTGAACCCTTAGATCTAGAAAAATTAAACTTAATACACCTGAATCCACTCATTATGATGATTGCAATCAATATCGTACATTAAGACCCCGCCCATTACAGTAGTGGCCATTTTGAAAAGTACAGTAATCAGTTTTTTTGCTACTCCTCCTTCAAAATTTGTCCAATTTTGTCCAAACATTTGTTAAAATGATCTTTAAACTGAGCCGCTCAGAAATGACTGAACAGATTTTTTAAATTCATCTTTGTTAAAAAGTTATGATGTCGCAAACTTAACGAGGTCGACCCAAAATTGGTTCAGAAGCTATAGCTCGGCCAAAGTTTGATCAATCGAAACGAAAATTGGTACGCTTCATCGGAAGCATGGTCTGAGGGTGCATGCCAAAGTTGGGAACAGCGCCACCTATGGGTCATGAGATATGAAAATTAGCTATTTTGGCCAATAACTTTTGAACAGTTTGTCAGAAAATCATAAATGTGGTATCTATGGATTCCTTGTGTCATGTCGATTCTGGGGATATCAATTTTGCCAGGATTGGATGTACCACGTGTCCGCTATTTTGAATTTTGTCATAATTTGCCATATCTTTTAAAATATTTGACATATCTTCACAAAATTTAGTATGGATCATCATTTGCATAGCCTTAAGGTACCTAAGAAGTTTGAACACAGCGCCACCTAGTGTTCCAAAGGTATAAGGTTTTTTGAAAAAATGCTTATAACTTTTGCAAATATAGTTCAAATTTTAATTTCTTTATGTCATTATATTCCTTGGCTTATACCAATTATAACGATATCTCGTTTGTCATTTTCCAACAATGTGACTGCCAGCGATATTGGGGCAAATGAAAAACAGTTTTTTCGCTACTCCTCCTTCACATTCTGCTCAATTTTGTCCAGAATTTTATCAGATGGTCTTTGGACCAAGCCGCACAGAAATGACTGAACAGATTTTTGATTTTTGCTACCGTTCCCGAGATATTCGTCTATAAAGTTGACCTAGCCTGTGTTTGTTGCCTTATGCTAGTTAGCTTAGCATAATAATTGGTTAGCATGCTAACCAGATGTCATTCTTTCTAATGCGTCTCTTCAGCTATCAGGATAACCATAAGCTACATTAGCATTAGGCTAGCTTAGCATGCTAATCTGGTTAACCTGCTTTGTGTGCTCATTCTTACACTGAAGGATCTCCTCTGCAGCTTGTGATTGTATGTCCTCTGAGTGGCGCAGTCTGCTAAACAATGTGTTACTAATCCTGAGCCGTTCCGGTTGTGGTTTCAAGCCCCATGTTATACAACTTTAAATCATTGTGTAATGTTATGTAATTTGGAGCCAATTGCTGCAGTTTTACCTTTAACAACTCAAGTCTCCGTAAAATTTGAATAAACCACTGTTTATGACTACCATGCTGTGTAAAAAAAAAGGTTATAGCTTTGAAGAAATTCTAATAATTTAATATGTAGCAACTGTTTAACAATGGGAATTTTGATTTGAACAATTGGTAAGTTGAATAAGTTTTCAAATTAAATCCAAATATGTCAAACATGGTCAAAAGGTGCTTGGCCCCGCAATCACTGCTTGCAGTTATATTTAACACAATTATTATTGTTTAATTAGCTCACATGTAAAGAGTTCATGCTTTTTTATGCTTTGTTAACAACTTATTAACTATTAATAGCTTTCTGTGATAGGGAAGGTTTAGGGGTAGAGTTAATATAAGGGTATATACAGTTATATATTATGCCTCCATTACGCCAATGGAGAGTTACTGTAAACCATACATGCCAACATGTATGTGTGTGTGTGTGTGTGCTTAATATATTTGTAAACATTTTAAGGAACACTTAATATGAATAGAGTTCATTTCCAATAAAAGTTGGTTTAAAGCCCTTAATGATATTTTCCCATTTTCCATGACCTAATTCTAAAGTAAGAACTATTTACTCCTAATAACCATTCATCAATTCCTTTACTATGACCTAATTAAACAATAAGAATTGTGTTAATTAGTGACATGAATGAAGAACTGTATATAGCCTATTAATACAGTATATTAACAATGTAGAGACTACAATAACCTATAAATAAACTAAGAGTTTGTTAATAATTTGTATTTATTACTGTGTACTTATTATAAAGTGTTACCAACTTTCCTATAGAAATTCTCAGCGCCGTGTTTCATGCTCATGGATTCTGTGATGCGTGCTGTCGTACCTGTGAAGTTTGCGGATGACAGATAGAGCCAGGTGAGGGCCGGGATAAAGATCAGGGCGAGGGAGGCAGCCACAAACTTCCTGCGCCCACGACACATTCCCAGCATCCTCTGCGGCCAGAGGGTGTCTGTTCAGAGACCTCTATGTGGGCATCAGCTTTTTGGATGGGGGGTGCATGGCACTGCTAAGTAAAAATACAAAATAAAAAAGTGTTAGCCATTGCACAAATTGATTGATGATAACAAAATGCTCATCTACCAGAATAAGTAAAACACCAAAATGACTTCAACTGGCAACCCAAATAGATTTTAGATTTTGAACTATCTGCATTATATTAAAGCAGGGGTCTCAAACTCGCGGCCCGCGGGCGATATTTTGTGGCCCCCTACTTGACATTAAAGTTTAATGTTAGTGCGGCCCGTCGTTGCGTGTGCCGCGTTTTTTTTTTTTTTTTTTTTTTTTATCCCTTATGGGCTACCATAGATAGTCTCGTGACAGCTTATGGTGGGTTTGTTGTCAATAGTTGTCATAGACAACCGCGAAGTACAAACATACTGCGCCTGGAAAAAATGAGCGCGTCGCTTCAATTATGAGCGCGCTTCCCGCGCGCCTACATTTGAAATAACTAACTTGAGCGCGCAAAATATGTGAGCGCGATATGTGAACGGACCCCTTGGCGAGCTACCACCAATCAGGCCACGAGCTACTGGTAGCTCGCGAGTGACGTGTTGGAGGCCCCTGCTCTAAAACAATGTGAGAATAATCATGTTGAGCTTGTAATATGTGTCCAACAGGTTGATAAGAAGGTTTGCTTTGATTTGTGCAAAGTCAGTAATTTGCCTGAGGTACTATACATGTGTGGAAAGAATTCAATAAGACGGGCAGACATGACTGCAAATATTTGTATTTCAAAAGCAATAATTGTTTTTCTAAGTATAATAAAAGGAAATCCAAAAAAACATTCAATATCATATTGTGTTGTATAAAGAAAATAAAAAGGACATGAGCAAATATAAGTATCACAAAGATGTGTTATAAGGAAAAGAAAAAGAATGTTTGTAAAATGAACTTCAACTGTCAGAAGGACAGCTCATGAAGAACCAATCATGAACAGAAAGGAATGTTCAAATTCAGAGGAACAGTTCAGAAGAAACGTTAATAATAAAGATTGAGAAGATTGGATCAGTTGTGCTCCTTTTTTGGAATACTTGAATACTATTTTTTTTTGTGGAATACTTGATGCGGCCCATCCTGACCCAGACTCTCCCTCCAGCGGCCCCCAGTTAAGTTGAGTTTGAGACCCCTGTATTAAAGGGATAGTTCACCCAAAAATAAATAAATTCTGTCATCATTTACTCACCCTCAAAATGTTCCAAACCTGTATGAGTTTCTTTCTTCTGTTAAACACAAAAGAAGATATTCTGAAGAAAGTCTGTATCCAGACAGTTGAGGGTAGCCATTGACTTCCATTGTTTGGAAAAAAAATACAGTTGGAGTCAGTGGGGACCAGAAACTGTCTGGTTACCGACATTCTTCAAAATATCTTCTTTTGTGTTCAATAGAAGAAAGAAAATACAGGTTTGGAACAAAATGAGGGTGAGTAAATGATGACAGAATTTTAAGTTTTTGGGTGAACTAACACTTTAATTTGACTGTTTTGAATATTTTCCTTTGAACTCAAGTTTGTCTAAGTGTACATGAAGTGTGCCATTTGGGACAGGGCCCAGGTTCCAAATAAAAGAGAAATTCAAATAAGATTAAGCACTTTTCATTTGTCAAGTAATTTATTAATTGTATTATCCAACAGCATACCACATATTTAATATACAAATCAAGTTAATGCGTTTCCAGAAAAAAAAAAATCGTAATTGTGATATAAAATGACTCATACTGTGATAAAAGCCACTCAGGTTACCTTTACGAAATTCAAACCTAAAAACTTTCAGTCACCAGCCAAGATCTGCACCACTTAACATCACAGCACCATCTCAAGTTAATGAACATGTTCAGATGTCTTACTGCAGTGCTAAAGAACAGGCTGGAACATTTATCTTGAGGTTGGTTTCTCAGATTCAGCAGCTGCTATGTCAGCACTAAAGACAATATTCTAGCTGTGGCAATGCAAAGCATCTGAGAGTAAATCCGACTATGTTCAAATCTTCATATTCCCCACTTAAGAACAAAAATACAGATCAATGCTGTTACTCGCCAATATACCACTAATGAACACTGGAAAGTACTAATGTCTATGGTAGTTTATTTGCTACATTCATGATGACAATACTCAGCTTTTAACAAACTTATTTTATCAATACTTTTTAATCAAAATAATGTAAAGGGAACCTAAATTTTGTCATCTAAATTAGCATGAACAATTATTTACCTTTATTCATCAGTGTTATAGAGAATTACAAAAATATGTATTTTTGACCAAAGTATGCACTCTAGGGGGAAAGTCAGCTGTGTATTTCAGTTTAAAAATCTATGTGCCTTTTATATTCATGGCAGAGTTAAATATCGTAGATCTTCCAGCCAAGTTTCTCTAACTCCAAATTTAATATAGCACAATTGTAGGCCTATATAATTAGAAGCAGCATCATATATTCAATCAATAAAGCAATTCCTTAGAAATACAATCAAAGACATGGCTGGCATTGACTGTTTGAAGAGCCTTTCACTTCAGTCAAAACATTTACCGTGACATCCTCAGACTTCTGTGGGTAATTAAATTATCATAAATCAATGAAAATAAGCATGAATAGTGCAGGTGACTGGATTTAATTAAAACCATCTAAAGAATTACCACGATAACCAGTGCCTGGGGCTAAAAAATTACTATATAAACTATAGTTTCACTCAAAATACCACAGACACTATCATTGTTAGTGCAGCAAAGCTGTGGTAAATATTAGCACTGTAATAAACGGATGAAAACTAATATTCTGAAAACTTCTGACACTGTTTGAACGAGTCGTATGCATTACTTTTATGATGATCGGATGCACTTTTTTTGGGCTTCAAAAATCTAAATCTAAGGTACCATTCACTCACATTATAAAGCTTGGAAGAGCCAGGATATTTTTTAATATAACTCCGACTGTGTTTGGCTGAAAGAAGAAAGAATACTCATTGGATGGCTTGTTTAGGGTGAGTCAATTATGGGGTAATTCAAATTTTTGGGTGAATTTCTACTTTTGTCAAATTTGATTAAACTTTTCCCAGACAGCAACATGTCATCCCAGATCCGGCCCACATCTGGTACACGTGAATCCACACGTACCAGATGTGAGCCGGATCTGGGCCGACATGTTGCTGTCTGGGTTATTTTTGTTACATGAAGGTCGCTCCAGGTCGCATTAAAAAAAGGAGAGCTACTTCTTTTCAAATGACTTTTACGTATTGGCTTTAGAGATCGTTGTTTCTTTTTGAAAACAGTGTTTATAAACTGTTTTAATATTTGTGATTCAATACACAAATTTAAATGTCCCTCGCTCAGGTATGGCAGTGACATCATTATCCGTAGCAAGATAAAGGAGCCGGCCATTTTATTACAAAAATATTTAAAATATCAGTTCACTCGCATAATTAATGTTGATTTGAGATGTGATGGAAATGGCATTTGCTCTTAACGGTTCAGGGGAAATGACGCACGTATGTCTTTTGTTGAACAATGTTAGTGAGCGAATAAAATGAACTAATGAGAGAATGAGTGTTTTATTAGACTTTATTAAGGATGAATCAACAAAGGCCAAAGTGGCATATAAACATTGATTATGTATTACAGTTGAATACACTTAACTGTAGTAATTGTAATTTATTATGGTTGGAAATTGTATGGCTGTTATATGCATGCCGTCTCACCTGTGATGCTGAAATCACTGTGACTGGACAAGTCCTTTACTGACAATAAAATATAAAACAACAGACGAACAGATGATCTTCAGTATCCGTATGATATGTGCATGAATGAAGAACTGACGGCTTTATGCCAATCGTCTTCACCAATCCAGTCAGAATCACCGTGAGGGAATATCACAGATATGTCAGTGTCTCAGGTCGCATTTGTGTCCATTTCAGATCCAAGATTAGCGCGTGAAAATGCCGCATGCTGGATTTGATGAATGCGGTGGGTTTTTTAGTAAAGATATGCTGGAAATATCGTCTTCTGCTTCCCTGCACGCGAGTTATACATCACATTCCGCAAACCGCGCCGTTTATTCGATCAATTATCTGATATCGTTGCGTATAATGTGAAAACTGCGGCCTCTCTACACAACACTCCCTGTTTGTTTCCCATCCTCCTTCAGTTCTCATTCCCAACATATCCTCCAATCACTGCCTCAATCCACAATCCAGTCCAGGCGGCTGTGTTTTCACTAAAACCCGGGAATGGATTTGATCCTGCTCTGCTTTCAGCTTCACAGTACTGTACAAGAAAGCATCAAAAATGTAGCTAGCATGAGCTAAACTGTTTCTTTTGATAGCTTTGAAGTTTGTAGTTCCCCTTTGCAGTTTTGTCTTTGTGTTAGTCGCCCTTCCTGAACATATTATGAATACAAATTCAGGCCTGGATGTTCTTGTCAGATACTGGGCTCTTGTCTATAACAAAATTTAATAATGTACACAGATAATTAATTAATTGTTATTTTGCAAACATTGTAAATATAATTGGAAAACTTGTAATTTGTACAATTACTCATTTTGTCATTTGTAAAGATCCTTTATAAAGAAACGAACAATGCGATTACTAAAAGAAATGAAGGAAAATATAACTGCAGTGTGCAAATAGGCTAACCATAGTTTAGACACTGTTTAAATGAGATCCCTTATTTTTAGCTCAGTTTTTTTTACAGCAAAGTCCATCTTGAATCTTCACTGAAAGTTAGGGATCATATGGTGTATATGATGACTCGTATTTGACATTTAAATTTAGATGAAGTACATATCGTCAGGACTTTAGAGGGATGTGAAGACATCGGTTGCAGCTCAAAACCTTATTTTATCACATAAGAGTTTGTTTCATTATTCATACCACAACAATAAATGTCTTTATAGAAATTGTACAATATATTATTGTGAAAAAGACATAAAATTGTCTTTTCATTTTAAATGGACAGATATTTAATCATGTCTGGCAACTTGAAAAGTGTGTTTAAGTCTGTCTAAAAAGTTAAACATTTAATGATCTAAGCATTTCACAAGATTTCTATATAAGGAAAGCCAAAGCAAGGTACTCTCAGTACACTATTATAATTTTATACTATTATAACTTAACAACATTAATGCATTTATTTCTGTTCAGAGGGATGTAAACCGATATAAAAAGATTATTCCTTATCCTGTGGCTCTCTCTAGTGGACAATATTAATATCACAGCCTTCATATTTCAGTTGAAATGGCTGACAGTTTAGAATTTGCTGTTAGCCTCCTGAGAGCATCATAAATTCAAGAAACTATTAGCATGTTTGCTCAAAATTACTTGTTTTCCATACAGTATGTACAGTGTTTTTAGAAGTTTAGGCTTTGTGCAGACAAGATATAGATATAATAGTCATAATGGGTCATACCAGTCACATGTAAAAATTGTATCTCCAAACTGTTTAATAGATCAAATTTCTTTTGATAACTTGTCAGCATGGTCTAGACCTGATGTGTGCAAAGTTTGCCGAAGGACTGCCAAACGTCATCTGACTGGGAAACTTTTCTTTTTCTTTTACAAATTAGAATGAGTTCACAATAGGAATAGCTCATCTCTAAAACATTGAATAACAGTTTTAAATGACAAAAAAAAAAAAAAAAAACTTTTAATTGTGCAATTGTAAAAACAAAGAACATTCACTCAATCAGTAAGGGAGTAATTACTCACTCATTTACAAACTCATTAATTAACTTACTCTTATCCAGAAACTCACTGTGGCGTCAGATGTCAAGCCTGTGTCAGGCTGGGGGGGGGGGGGGGGGGGTAAGATGAGCCATTTTTTACTTATGTGGTCCTTGAGAGAAAATTGGGCAGGAGTACAATGAAAGTATCTAAAGAAATTTCAGGATGTGTCCTTTCATTTTAAATGAACAGAATACATAAATGGCAAAGGGTTCTAAAAATGTGGCTTCTTATAAAAAAGTGTTCATGTGGCTCAGTTTACCCCAGGTTAGGGCTAAGTTGATTCGAGTCAGTGGGTAAGTTGCACCATCTAGGTGTAAACTAAACTTACTACATAAATGAATATGATTCACATTTTAAAGATAATTTACCTCTCTTAAAAACAAATTTAATAATAAAATTCCCTTTTACAAATAGCCATATTTCTTTTTTTTAAAGCCAACTTAACATAAAACCAAATGAAGTTGTAATTTCAATATTACAACTTAATTTTAATTGTTTGCATTTCTGAAACTATGTTGAAAACCAAAGTTGTAACCTTCCCCAAAACAGACTAAACAGAGAGTGTGTTAAGTAATATTAAATAAAATCTGAATTAGAATGAATGAATAAATGTCACTGAAACTAATAAACATATAGTTAAAAGGTTCTTGGCATGGAAACCATTCTGGTTAGGCCATTAGGGACTACAGTTGGAAAGATATATATGATTAATAATATGATTAATATATGATGATAATCTGGTAATAAGCATCTTCTGGTTCTTATCAGAGAAGAATTTGGTGTAGTTGCACATTGCTCCTATCAAATAAACAACAACAATAAAAAAAGATAAACTAAACCAGTTGCGTAATATTACATTGAAATTATATGAGTTTATACTTCAAAGATTTAACTTAACTAGTGCCTTATGGTGGGGTAAGTTAAAATGTAAGTTAAAACATTTGGCTCACTTTGCCCCATAGCTGCCATTTTGGACAAAACTAACTTACCAATTCAGGCTAATATTTAGCTAAATTATTTGCATGGTTCCCTTTCGAGAGGTTCCTCCTATTGCGTAAGTAGCTTACGCTATGGGAAAACTCCTTTTCTCGAGAAATATTGAAGTCTTTATGTAAAACGCATTGCAGCTGCACAGCATACAGCAATGAGCGAGGCAGCTCGGTCATTGGCTGTGCTGCGGCAACTTTACGAACCTATGACGGGGCGACTCTGAACCCGCTTCCAATTAGCATGCTTCGCGCCCGCGCGCGTCAGAGCCCGCCAAGATGGGCGTGGCCAAGGGCTATATATTGGGTGCCCCGTCGTCTGAGTTCTTTAGATTTAATCTCCTTCAGCAAAGACCTTCTCTTCGCTGGATCCTCCGGATTTTTGGAGTCTTTTCGCCCCCCCCCGCCGTCGACAAGCCTACAGCAGGACTGCTACGAGGACGCCGGCGCCTTCAGCCGCCTTCGATCGCCTTCTGCTAAGCCATCCGGCGCACATCACCTCTATATCCTTTTACAAAGCTACCAGTGTTCGCCCCCGCAACACTTTTTCTAAAAGAGCAAATTAACTGGGCGTTGTTTCAAATGCCTTCCTGCGCCTCGTGTCGAGGCCCTCTTCAGGACGGGGATCGTCACATCATTTGCACCCGCTGCCTGGGACCGGACCACGCAGAGGCTGCCCATACCCGAGGCGGATGCCCCGAGTGTGACGCCCTGGGCCTCACCGAGCTGCGCGCTCGCTTCGCCGCTTTCGCCGCGAAAGAGCCCACCATCACCGTGCTACCATCTAATGCTACCGTGCTAATTTCCCGCTTTTACTGGGGAAGTGTTTATAACTGTGGGGACAGTGCTTATGTGTAGTGGTGCACACATGACAGTGGGCACACAATCTACATTTATGGGGCGTCCAGCCTGAGCTGGGGAAGCATTTGGCACTGCTTTGACAGTTTTGACATGTGGGAATGCGCACTTTAGTGTGGACACGTGACCCTTTAATGACACTGGCAGAAAATGGCTCTTTATGTGATTTCTGTGTGTCGCCGTAAAAACGGCGTTTGTTTGCAGGTGAGCGAGCCGTGCGGCTGGCCCATTGGCTGCTGTACAGACATTTCCAGCCGCCTGTAAGGGGACTGGGTAATGCTTTAAACGTTTTGGAGAGAGCGGTCCGGCTTTGCGAGACACGCGCTCTCTCTCTTTCTCCCTGTAGCTAGGAAGACTTACGAGGCTCTGGGTTCAGCACAATCTTGGGGCGAGGGCCCCGTCGCTCGGGCGGTTGCCTCCTGTTGGCAGAGCGCGAGCGGCGTCGGAAGTCAGTTTCAGGTCTGGGCTGAGAGACGGTAGGTGCTGTCTTGACTCGCTGCTGCTGAGGTGGCTTTTGGCGGCTCTGCGATGAGCTAGATCGCTCGGGCAGGAAGTGACGCATAGCCTGCGAATCCTTACGGGCTTCGGTGAAGCGCTCAGCGAACCGGGGGGCAGATCCTTGAAACTTTAGACTTGCTCCTTGTGACTTTAGACTTGACTCGGACTTGTGCCTATTTACTTGAAATGACTTGTGGAAAAAAAAAATTCAATTATTGTGTATTTTTTATTCGTCATAAGAGGGAGCGTGGGCGAGTTGTTATTTATTTAGTTCTGTATTATGGCAAATCAACCGGGAGCTCCCCGCGAAGGCGCGCGCGCGCGTCTTGATCCCGACTGCTCCTATGATGTCACTCGTTGTCACTTGGTCAGTCAGTTAGCGACTCGACGATGTCTGACAAGAAACGAAAATATCTTTCTGGCCAAGAAAAACGACAAAAAAGAGCCTGGAAGAAGAGAATAAGCAAGAAGATAAAGGTACGTAAGCCTGTAGGCTTAATTTTCCGATTTCTGTAATATGGATAATCTGCACTAAAAGTCTTATATTAACATTAGCCTACATCGTGCTTGTATTAATTTTCTACAGTTGTTTAACTTACATGCTAATAACATGCTGCATAAAATTGGTTTAGTATTAGGCCAATACCATTTGCTGTGGTGTTACTGTTAAAGCATTTAACAGAACAATATAAACCCAGTTTGGATTCTACACTAAAGGGCTAACATTAGTTGACTCCTTATGTCTCCTTAGGAGCACTATTAAAGTAACGTTATATGCTGCCAGTAAGCAAAGCTCCAGCTGTTGGTGAGTATAAAGGAGCTGTAAAATGATAACCTTCTGCATTTTAAAAATTAGGTCTAACTTTATGTATAATTATTTTCTTTATTTGGATTGGATTTTAATAGTTATATTGAAATGTTACCTTATTCTTAATATTGTTACTATTGATCTTGTTTGTGGTGTTTTAGATGTTAATTTTGTTTATTTGAAAAATCTATTTATTATTTTATATAATATTATATTTAAATGTTATTCTATTTGCTCTATTTAATTTAAATTTTATATATATATATATATATATATATATATATATATA